TATTTCCTCTTATTTACGAAACCTAAGAAATGGTAAATCCATTTTCCCCTTACTGGTCATCTATATTGTGCTAAGGAATCCTTGTAGCTAAATGCATTACCTAACATCTCTTAGAGTTTTCCAGGACACCTAGGAGTCCATATGTTTTAAAAGACTTCTGCCTACTTGGCTATTGTTCTTATAATCTGAAATTTAATGATACAGACTTCAAAAAGGGTATCTTTAGATTAAGTTTTATAATTAACATTTTCTGTTATATAAAGAATAAAAACTGCCAGAGAATAATGATGTATATATCAGTGGAAATACAAAAGAATATTCAGTTCTCTCAATATTCAGAAAGACTGTTTGTGGGTTATTATAACTAAGAGATAAAGGAGCTATGTTTATTTTGAAAAAAAATTAATCATCTTCTTAGACTTATTACTTAGGCTTCTTAGGCTTATTACTTTCTTTAAACTTTAAAATACTATAAATCAACAGAAAGAACTGTTAAAAATTATGCTCCCCCAGCTATTTATTTGTATTAATTACTCATTAATTCCAAAAGAACTTTAGGATAACTGTTAACAGGCATCTGAAATAAATGAAGCATTTAATTACCTTTAATTCCAACTGAAGGGGCTCCTCCAGCTACAGCAGCCAGTGCATATTCAATCTGGACAAGTTTACCAGATGGGCTTAAAAAGAAACAAAGGCATTTGCTAAATCCACATATTTTCAAATATTTATAATAGAAATATTTCTTAGAGCAGAGACATAGGTCAAATCCATTAACCAGATACCAAGGAATAGCTGGGTTTTCACATATTGTGGCTGTACAGAAATGGAGTTTACCAGGCAGTTTGAACACATAGTAAAGCATGTCATCTTTCCTTTTTTCCCCCTTCTTCTCTGCTTAAGGCAGCAGCATCATTACCGTTGCCTTTTACCACTTCACAACCTGTGACTTCAGGCAAGTTATTTAACCCCACTGTGTCTCAGTTTTCACATCCATAAAATGGGGATAGTATAGTACTATCAAAAAATTGTTGTGAAGATGAAATAAAGTGATGCCTTTTGTTCCTGGCACAAAATTAGCAGTCAGTAAATACTAAATGGTAATGTTATTAAGACACGTGCCTGTTAAATACCAAACAACAGCATATGTTTCGTATGGGTGGAGTTACACATTTTAGAAAGTAGGCATGGCCGGAGAGGTAAGACCTAGTTATCACCCAGGACAAAACATTTTCTACAGAAAGCTATTTCTAGAAGCTATGAGCTGGCGATACTTAACATAGCTGATTGCATGGATTTCATAGCCAAATACTAGCCCTGAAATGGCTTTTAAAATCATACTTTGTTTCACCAGTTGTTGAATTAAAATCAAACGTCACAGACTTAATTTTACAGATAGTTTTTGAGTGAAAGTAATTTGTCTAAAGTGACATAGCTTGCTTCATAGCTCCGTGTACTAGTGAAAATATAACCTTGAGTTTCAGAAGGTCATTCATTTCATCTTCATAAAATTATTGGAAACTCTGTCACTCAAGTCTCAACTCTGTTCCAGACACACAGACCACTCTCAGCATTCAAAAACCCCTTTGACAGGTTAACACCTCTGTCTGTAATGCAATTCATTCTTGTCAGGTGAGCTCTCTCCTGGTCATCCTTCACTCTTGCACAGAAACGTCACGTTCTTAGAGAAGCCGTCCTGACCATTCAGAATAGACTGATTTCCATACTTGCTCTCTGGCTAAGACTCATCCAGCTTCCTTTATTCTCCACAGAGCGTGAGGAACAGTGATTGGTCAGTCCTCTAGCATATAACCTAGTGCCAGGAGTCACAATCATCTGGCTGACAGAGACACAACTAGACCTACTTATGGAATAAGCCTAGGTGGCAGTCTAACGAGTCTTAAATGACAAAATTTGTTAACTTGAGTGAAATAACATCAATAGGTCTTTAAATTTAAATTTTTAAAATTAAGCTGTACATGTTTTCCTGTTATTAGTCACTATTTCAACAATTATATCGTGACTCACTGGGTCCATGCAGCTTTCAATTATTGTTCAACATCTAGCTCAAATACTCCTGGGGAACATTTTAAGGGCTCAGGTAAGCTTCAATATACCTCCTCTGTTCACACAACCACCTGCACACACATCTACCACTGCATCTTCCTATATGACAGCTCACCAGTCCGTGAGCTCACAGAGCAATCAACCAACCATCTTTGTAGTTATGCCAGCAGCTCATTCAAGTACCGACATCTCTATCTGGGATACTTGATACAGCCTTCTAACTAGTTTTCCTCTATTCCACCCCCAATTCACACCCCCCAGCCAAAGCTACATTGTACCATATCACCTTTCACTTAAATCCTGTAAGAACTTCCTGGTTCACTTAAAATACAAACTTCTTATTCTGGCCTAGGGCTCTGCAAGAGTGGCCCTACCCGCACTGACTCCTTGCTCACTATGCTTCAGGATTTTTACATAATCCTTTTTTCTCTGTCCACCAGTCTCTCTACCCCTAAGTCTTCAAATAGTTGGCTTTTTTTTTTCCCACCTTCTAGTCTCAAAATTCACCTCCAAGCACTGGCTTTTCCTGACTATCCAATCTACAGTTATATTTCTTCTTTTTACTCTCTTTTAATAAAAATTCCTGAGTAAGAGAAAAACTTTTTTTTCAGAATCAATTAGTAGACACCAATTTGTTCACTCATTCATTGTTAATATCCTCAACTGAACGTAATCCGTAACAACACTTTTTCATCCTAGAATATAATATAGCGCCTAACTTTCATTAATAGTTTAGTTCTGATCACCAACAGGCTAGAAACAAAATTTTTGAATCTAAAACAGACTGAACCAGGGCAGCCCCGGTGGGGCGGCGGTTTAGCGCCACCTGCAGCCCGGGGTGTGATCCTGGAGACGTGGGATGGAGTCCCGTGTGGGGCTCCCTGCGTGGATCCTGCTTCTCTCTCTGTGTCTCTGCCGCTCTCTCTCTCTGTGTCTCTATGAATAAATAAAATCTTTAAATATATATATACATAAATGAAACAGACTGAACCATTATGTTAAAAAAATAAATTGAATACATTATTACAGATGAATTACATTATTACTGATCCTATTTTATGTGCCCACTTGCTTCACTTATTCTAAGAAAAGGATTTACGCTTTCTTCAAGATAAAGAACCACGTTTACTTCTTCCATTTACGCTTTCTTCAAGATAAAGAACCACGTTTGCTTCTTCCACAAGTATGAAGTGATTAATTAGCAACTCTTATTCTCTACCATTGTGTATCATTACAGACAAAGGTCTAAAAAAAAAAAAAACAAAAAAACCCTCATTTATTATTGAAAACTGCCAAGTGTAAGGAGAGTATTTTAAGAAGACACATGCGGTGATAATAGTGTATTAATCTTGTCATTGGAAAGAACTCAGGGGGCAGCCCGGAGGGGCTCAGAGGTTGAGCGTCTGCCTTCAGCCCAGGGCGTGACCGCGGGGTCCCAGGATCGAATCCCACGTCGGGCTCCCTGCATGGAGCCTGCTTCTCCCTCTGCCTGTCTCTGCCTCTCTCTGTGTGTCTCTCATGAATTAATGAGTGAATGAATAAATAAATATCTTAAAAAAAAAGAAAACTCAGTTTCAATAAATAAATAAATAAATAAATATCTTAAAAAAAAGAAAGAAAGAAAACGCAGTTTCAACGTGAACTCAGCCGCTCATCTAGGACCTTGGACGAGCTATGGAATAATGCGTTCGACCTGTGGGTTAGTTCACCCGTAATTCGCTGAAATAACGTTCACATCCCACAGGGTAGGAGAAGAGATGGGCAGGTCAGGTTGCACCCGCACGGCAAGAACTCAACAGGTCGGATCCCGCTTAGCCTTCGGCTGTCGGAGAGAAGAACTACCCGTCAACCCAACAGGAGACTTCGGATCCGTAAGGAAAGCGGTCCAACTGAAGCATCACCAGGTCGGTGTGTTAAAAACCCTTCGCTCGTGGGTTTCCTTACATTGGGAACAGGAGTCCATCTCAACCGTGCAGTTCGGAAAAAAACATACTTGTCGGCCCACTGTTCTGAAATAAGGAAGAGCCTGCGACCTTCTGCAAAGTGAACATACCCCTCCCCGCCCCTCCCCCCCGCCCGCCCCAAAGGCCAAGCGGCCCAGGGGTCGGGGCCCGGACACCAGAGGCGACGGGATGAGTCCTTAAACTTCTACCGGCCGGGGGTGGGGGGGGGCGGGGGGGCCCGAAGCGGGAAGAGGCTTCGAAGCGCCAGAGGCTGGGGGCTCACCCCAAACTGCAACGAGGGGGTTCCCCGAATGGAAAGAGGGGCCCGGGGCGCTTGGCCAAGGTCCCGAGCTCCATCCAGAAGCCCCCCCGCCAGGCCTACTCGGCTTAGGGAGGCGATCCTGAGTTCCCAACGGGACCCGCGGAGGCAGCCGCCCCCGCAAAGTGCCTTATTCTCTGCTTGCTCCCCGGAGCGAGAGTAAACCCTTGGTGTTGGCCTTCCCCGCCGCGGCCCCAAGGGCTCCCCGGCTTCCCGGCGCCGCTGCTCCCAGGCCGCGGGCGGGCCACGCAAATGACTTTGCAAAGTCGCATCTCCGTCCCTATTTCCTACTGCAATGCCCCCGGGAAGCATCAAGCCCGAGGCTAGAACGGAAAAACACCGGGCAAGGGGGGAGCTCCTACGACCCCGGCCCCTCGGAGGACCCGGGGGCTGCTTCCATACCTGAATGTAGTCAGCGAAAAGCTGTAACCGCGCTCCGCCATCTTTGCCTGGAGTGCCAGAGCACAGCCGCACACATGCGCACTGGAGCCGCTTGCTTCCCATTTCCCCGCCCCGCTCCTCCCGTTCTCTCTCTCTGATTGGAGGAGAGTCAAGAGCCGCTCCAGGGACATGCTGGGAGTTGTAGTTCCAGCCGTCAAGTGGGCCGGACTCTGCGCCTGTGCGCATGCTCGAGGCTGGGAGCGGGGGGCGGCCCCAGCAGCCCGGTGGGCGTGGGCTCCGGGCGGGAAAGATGGCGTCGGCCATGCTGGTGCTTGTGGTCCCGCCGTGGCCGGCGGCCCGGGGGCTGCTCAGGAACGGTTGGGAGCTGCTACTGCGGACGCTTCAGCAGAGCCGGCCAGGCCTTCCCGGGCCTCCGTGGGGTACGTAAGGGAGGCCGCGGAGGAGGAGGAATGGGAGGAGGGGGCCCCGGGCAGCCTGGCGGACGCGGCGTTTAACCGCGGGTAGGGGACGTCCCCAGGCCGGACTCCCTACCTGAGACTGCAAACAGCTGGTTTGGCCCCCCTTTAACCCGAAAAACAGGAGAAGCCCTCTGCGTGGCCCAGTGCACGCTCAGAGCGTAGCTGAAGCAGGGCGCCTGGGTGGCTCGGTCCGGCCAGCGTCGGCCTCGGGCTCAGGTCGTGGGGTCGCGCCCCCGGGGTCGTGGGGTCGGGCCCCGCCGCGGGCTCGCTCGCTCGCTCTCTCCCCATCTCAGGCAAATAAAGTCTTACATTAAAAAACAGAGAGAGAATGTAACCCAAGCCTGTCAGCTCAGAGTATAGGGTCGCCGCGCACTCTCTGATTTTTTTTTTAATATTTTCATTTAAGTGTTTTTTTTTTTAAGATTTTATTTATTTATTCAAGAGAGACACGGACACAGGCAGAGGGAGAAGCAGGCTCCGTGCAGGGAGCCCGACGTGGGACTCGATCCCGGGACTCCAGGATCCCTGGGCCGAAGGTGGCGCCAAACTGCTGAGCCACCGGGGCAGCCCCACCTCCTGCAGCAGTTTGGCCTCCTTAGTGGTTATCGGAGCTCTCTGCAGCTTGCATCCTGCCGATCCCCGCGTTTCCCCCCTAAACTGATTTTTAGGTTACGAGCCTCTTGTTATAAGGTGTTAATGACCACGTCATTGTCCTCCTCGACCTGTCCGTGTCATTTAACACCATTGACGTTGATGTTAAAGTTGTCATTACTTTGACATTTGCATTCTACCCTTATTTATTTCTTTTTTAAGGTTTTGTTTATTTATTCTTGAGAGACAGAGAGAGAGAGAGGCAGAGACACAGGCAGAGGGAGAAGCAGGCTCCATGCAGGGAGCCCGACGTGGGACTTGATCCCGGGACCTCGGGGGTCATGACCTGGGCTGAAGGCGGCGCTAAACCGCTGGCCCACCCGGGCTGCCCCCATTCTACCCTTCTTAATTTATTTTTTTTTAATTTATTTATTCATGAGAGAGAGAGAGAGAGAGAAGCAGAGACACAGGCAGAGGGAGAAGCAGGCTCTTCGCAGGGAGCCCGATGTGGGACTCGATCCAGGGACCCCAGGATCACACCGTGGGCGGAAGGCAGGCGCCAAACCACTGAGCCACCCACCCAGAGATCCCCATTACCCTTATTTCCAAGGTATCCTGAACATAACACCCAGGGAGTGTGAATGGAGAGCCCATGATATGCCAAAGTGCTTCCTGGGAAATCTCCACACCATCCTGTTAGGAAGCACCACTTTTGGGCCGAAGGAGGAGGCTCATGAAGGTCCCCAAGGTCACACAGGCCAGCCAGATGGGGCCCGTGCTGTTAACCACTTAGCTATGCTTAGCAGTTATTTTTAACAGGTGAATTGGAAAGGAATACTGGTTGCTAACTGTTAGCTTTGTGGATCTTTAAGAGTTCCTAAAGGATTCCAGGTCTGAGGAAGAACAAGGATAGGATAAAAGGTCTTTGATTTTATAGACAATTTAGGAAAAAAAACTGAAACTGATAAGTCATATAAGTAAGTATTATGCAGAGTGGTGAGCCAGTCCCTTTCTTCAGGGAACCGACGGTAATAGAATAATGATATTCTATTATTCTAAATGGAACATTATTCTTAATAGAATTATTATTCTTAATAGAATAATATTCTATTCTTCATAAGAAGAGCTAAGTGACTTAAAGGGCCTACCCGGCTGTATGACAAAGGAACCAGCTCAGTTGGAATATAATAAAAAGGGGCCAAGAGGCAGTTGTCTGAGGCCAGGATGGAAATACATTTTGGAAATCCCAAGCTTAGATTTCCTTATAAGGTAAATAGGAACTGCCTACCGAGTAGAATGTGGACAGTTTGAGTGGTTTATTCATGTTTACTACTAAACCCCTGGGGTCTGTATTTCAGAAGGGAAGAAACTTGGTAAAATTTCAGAGCTTCATTTCAGCCAGTGCCCCTAAGAAAAAACTCGATTCATGTTGTTTAATATTGCTTTCTGTATGAGTTTTAGTGTATGTTAGTAGCTGAGGCGTCTGTTAAATGTCTGTTGAGTGTAATGTTATGAATTTTACATATGTCTGTTGCTGTATCACTGTTGATTGTTAAGGAGAATGATAGATGTCATAGAGTCATTTAGAAACTAGAAATCCATCCTATATTTCCATGTTATGTTTTTGTAGGACCCGCATTAGCAGTCCAAGGTCCGGCTGTATTTACAGAACCGGCACATGACACCAATGGAAGTAAGGAGATTTCCAGCCTTTTGGATAGTATCTTCTGGATGGCAGCTCCAAAGAACAGGCGCAGCATTGAAGTTAACCGCTGTAGGAGAAGAAACCCACAGAAGCTTATTAAAGTTAAGGTAATGCATTGATTTTTGTGGGTGTGCTTTCTCTCTTATCCATCACTGCATCTCTTTGTACTTACGTAGCCTATGAGTAAATCATTCTTAGAGCTTCTATGTGTACTTTCCTCTGGCCTAAATAAGATAGAGCATTTTCATTGTGTATGTCTATATGCCTGCTGTCCTATAGCCTAAATATTAGGACCACAGTCAAGGAGAGAGTTTGGAGTCTGGACAGAGGGCTAGGTTGTGAATAAACCCATGTGACGTTTGTTATGAGCTGGTGTTTTGGAGTCATATATGGGTAAACATCTTAATAATGGCAGAGCCTAAAATTGTTGTTTTTTTTTTAAGATTTTTATTTATTACTTCATGAGAGACACAGAGAGAGAGAGGCAGAGACACAGGTAGAGGGAGAAGCAGGCTCCATGCAAGGAGCCTGATGCAAGACTTGATCCCGGGACTCCAGGATCACGCCCTGAGCTGCCCTGAGCTGAAGGCAGACGCTCAACCACTTAGCCACCCAGGCATCCTTAGAGCCTAAAATTAAAGTCAGAACAGCCGTAGGTATTATGGATCTCAAGTTTTACTAACCGTTACATATTTATTATGTTCTTCACTGTGACAAAATACTGTGAAAGAAAATCCTTAGGTAGGTAATAAAAATAGCTAACATCATTTAAGTGCCTGTGACGTGTCTAAGCACTTTATGTGAATTACCTCACTAGATCCTCAAAACAGCCTTCCAAAGTACATATAGCTTTGCTGATTTTTAGGATGAAGAAACTATGGCAAAAAGAATTTGGCTGTAGTCACAAACAACTAAGTGGCAGAGCCAGGATGTGAAGCTAGGCAGTCTGATTCTTGAACTTAACATTTTTCTCTTAGAACTTTCTGGTGTGTTCCTGTCCTCAGACAATTCCAGATCTCCACACCCATTCTCCCTCTCCCTGCCCCATGGATATACTCTTCATTGATCTAATAAACAGAAATTATAGCGTTTATTACCTTTCATTTGTTAACTTACGGCTTTCACAGCCATGATTTGAGTTACTTTTTGCCCCATGACACTCCGCAGCAGCAGCACAGTGCAGATGAAGCTCAAGAACAGAGAACTGACTTCATAAACTTCCAGCATTTCAGTATTAAACCTCACCCTTAGAACTTAAGCCAAAAAGTACTACTGAGTCACATTTGGAACTCGACTTAAAGTCTGGAACTGAAAAGTTTGTCATTAAAATAATATTATATGCAATTTGGTTGAGAGAATTTATGATTTTAGGAATGAGAGCTTATACCAATCTGTTTCATGATTCCCCTCACTGCATTTATTCTGAGGGAAAAGAACGGTACCCTGTGGATTCATTTTCTTCACTGAATTGTTTCTGGCCACACATAGTATATTAATGCTAGTTCTTTAATGAGGAGGAGAGCACTAACTGTGGGTATGGCTCCCATACTTCCAGTTAGACCTGGGGTCGAAATTGGGGAGGCATGTCATTTGTGAGATTTTTTTTCCTCCTTTCAGAAAATGAAATTCTTTTTTGTCATTGCCTCACAAAGGTTTGTATGTTAATCTTAAGAAGTGTTTGGACTTTCTTTGATGTTCCTATGTACAATTTTTTCTTTTCTACTTTAAATCTACTTTTAGAACATACTGAAAAGATTTCTTTAAAGGTTGCAATTGTCTTATTAAAGTTGGGTAGATGTGTGTAAAAACTCATTCTCAAATTGTAGCATATTAAAGGGAGTTTTACATTAAGGAGTAATCGGTATTCATTCATAAAAAGAAAAAAGACACCATATACCAACTATTAACACATATATTATACTACACCATAGGCTTCATACAGGAATTTAAGTTACAGTGATGAATTAGAGGCAGCCAGCTGTAATGTTTGTCACCTTGTTTTCCCCAGGGGTAGATTGAAGGAAAAAGGGAGTTCCCTTTCCCTGGTCTCTTACTAATGTGCTAGCTGTATGGATTGCCCCATTGTGTTGAAGGACTCCCTATTAGATGTTTAGTATTTGAAGGTGAGGAAATAGAGTATCATTTTACATAATATGATTGCTGTATTTAAGTAAGAATGTACCAGGTTCATAGTTGGTAGAGCTGAGTTCTATCCCACTTTTTCTATTAATTCAAACTCGTTTGTCCTCAGTTCCCTTATTAAAGTGACATTGAGGGGCACCTGGGTGGCTCAGTTGGTTGGATGTGCAACTCTTGATCTCATCTCAGGTCTTGATCTCAGCACCATGAGTTCAAACCCCATGTTGGGCTCTGCACTGGGCCTGGAACCTGCTTAAAAATAAAGTAAGGTTGAACTAGATGGCATATGACCTTATGCAACATGAGCAGCCCAAGAAAGTTCAAGTGTAAGCATGATTCCTGTGCATGGTCACATGTGCATTATTTTGCTTGTTAAAATATGTTTTTGTTGTTTTTTGTTTTTTTAAAGAACAATATTGACGTTTGTCCTGAATGTGGTCACCTGAAACTGAAACATGTCCTTTGCGGCTTTTGCTATGAGAAGGTGTGCAAGGAGACTGCAGAAATCAGAAGACAGATAGGGAAACAAGAAGGGGGCCCTTTCAAGGCTCCTCCCGTGGAGACTGTGGTGCTGTACACAGGAGAGGCACCGTCTATACAAGATCAGGGTAAGAGAATCATTGAACGAGACAGGAAGCGACCATCCTGGTTCACCCAGAATTAAGACCAAAGAGGTTTGAAGAGGATAACTGCATATTGAACATTTGTCCTGAAAGGGAGGGAAATTTTTTATTCTCATGTTGGTTTTGTGCTTGTTTTTAAATCATCAGTCTAGTTTAAAACATTCTCTCGAAGCAGTTAGTTTTGTTTGGGTAATTTGAAGAATAAACCAGGAGTAAACTCTGAAAATAATGGTTTATTACAGAGACACAACAGATTAATATGTTTCTGTTATACTGAATATAAAATTTCCAGTACAGAAAAATAAATGATTTAAAATTCATAGCAAGAATTACGTGTTTTGGTTCTGATTTTGTCTGCCAGTGATTTTTCTTACACAAAAATACACAGATACTTTCATTTAAGTAACACCTAGAAGTAGGTTATTATTTGAATTATAGTTTTTTCTTTTTTTTTTTTAAGATGGTGGTTGTGGCAGTAAGAGGACGGTTGTGTTCTGTTCAGTTTTGTTTTAGCAAGTTAAAATTGCCTTTGGTAGAATTCGCTTTATATGGGCTGTATTACTGTTAATTTACTTAGAAATAGCTCTTCACATTTTACACTAAATCAAAATGACATTCAGAATTCATTAGATGGCTCATGGGATTTGTGTTTTATAGTTTGGGAGAGGTTTTTAAAAGGAAATGTGAGTAAATTCACTAGTATACAGAACATGTATTACAATTGTTGTGTGTTTCATTTTTCTTCTAGTGTATCCTTTTAGTTTGTTTTTTATTTTATTATTTTTATAATTTACTATAAAGCGATGCCCTTTTTAACTTAACGTAATTCATTTAAAATTTCCTTCTCTCTACCCCATTCTTGTATTTATCCGGAAGTGGAAGTTTGCTATTGTATGTTTCCTGCCTCATTGGGGGTGGGGGGGAGGTGAGAGAAGTTATTAAAGCACACTGAGAGGCGCCACTGGGTGGCGCTGTCAGTTAAGCATCAGACTCTTGGTTTTGACTCAGGTCATGATCTCAGGGTTCTGAGATGAGCCCTGCTCTGTGCTCAGTGGGGCATCCTTAAGAGCCCCTCCTGCCCCTTTCCCCATTTGTGGGCATGCTGGCTCTCTTGAATCTTTAAAACACACACACACACACACACACACACACACACACACACACTGAGTTTTGTAAGTAAGGGACTTACAGTTAAATGGAAAATCAGTAGGTAAGATAATATAAAGCCTAAAGATATATTTAAATAAAACACATGCCACATTAGCCTGAATAGTTACTGGAAATAGGCAATGAATTCAATTAAATTTTCTTTTCCTTGAAAGAACCTTCATGGATAAATCTTCATAAGGTTAGACACATCTTCCAGAAATATACAACTATCTTGCTATAGAAACTGAGGGCCATTTCTCCCATGGAACTTCATAATGACGATTCCATGGTGGAGTAATCCATGTTAGTATTCCTAGAAGTAAAATGAATCCATTTCATGAGGTACAGTATAAACCAATACTGTGTTGAAGTACAATTTAGTAAAAGCAAATCCTTAAAACTTCCAAAGTATTGGAATCCCACTAAATAACTCTTCCAAAGTTTGGCTCTATGTAAGCATCAAATTGGGATCCTAGAGGGACTAGGGTATCTGGTATTCATACTAAGGCAGTCCTCCACAGATAATTATTTCTTAAACTCTGACAAGCTTTAGCAGTACAGTGTGTCAAATTTAAATATACTTCAGGTTGAATCCATGATTCATGAAAGCTGAGGCCAGCTCAGTACACCCCTGAATCTTCCAGGCCTACTCCGCATCTCGGCTGACTGGTTAGCAGATCGTTGCACAGGACGCCCCTCGCTAACACATTGTCCTTTGAGTTAGCGGCCTGTTCTACATGCAGGTAGACCTAGTGAGCATATGTGGATATGCTTTTGTTTGGACAGATAAACGTTCTATGAAGTACATCCCCAAATTAGATAGCAAAACGGGATGTCTAGTTTCTCCTAGGAAACCGTGTCCTAAAAGGGAGTGTTTGTCATTTTGTTGAAGACGTTGTCCCCTTAAAAGTTCTCTTTGAAACACATTTTATTATTTCGTACTACCAGGTTTTACTATCAGGAAAGAAAGAGCATGATGAATTTGAATTAAATCCTGTATACTGATTTGTTAATTTTTCTTAACATTGGAAATGATCCTCCTCCCTGTCTGCCCCCTGCCCTCAAGATGCGGAGACATTTTACCAGGCACTTTGGAGAACAAGTCTCCACAGCATTCAAGTCATGTTATGTTTGGGAGATGCTAGCGAGGAGCTGCATGTCCCCTCCGAGCGTAATGGTACTCCCCTCCATCTTCCTGGCTCCTCTTTACCCAGGTCCTAGCAGATTACCAGTTTCTAAAACTCTGGTGTCTGACTTCATACCATCTCCTTGCCAGTGTCCTCATTCAAACCCCATCATTCTCTCCTGAGCTGTTGTTACCATATACTTTCTAATTATTAGTTTCCACTCCTCTCCTATTTCTAATTTTCTTTAATACCTTTTAAATTGCAAAAGTGATGTCATTATAGTTAATGAAGCAATGCAAAGTACATAAGGAAAGTTACACATCCTTTCTCTGCCACCACACCTGACACCATACTACCTGATATATATGCTTCTATACGTCACACTGCCACAAGGTACTTTGAAGCACACTTGTGGTTGTACCACTCCCCTGGTCTGAACCAGGCTCCTCATTAAACCCTCACATGCCTTCACAGTCTGCCCAAGTCTCATGCCTGCCCCCTTCCTCAGTGCAGTGTGCACCCCATCCCTCAAATGTTGGAATCAACCCTCCAGAGCTGTCTGTTGACCACCACCTCAGCAGACTTCACCCCTCTTGCTGCCTCCACTTGGCTTCACTGTCTTCCACCTCAGGGTCCTTTGAACTCCCTTACTGTTCTTCCCCCTCTCCCTAGCCTTCGGAGTGCCCAAGGCTCCATCCTTGATGATCTCATCCAGTCTTATGCCCTAAGTAACACTCTCTGCTGGCACCTTCCAATGTCATGTTTCTGGCATGGGCCTCTCCCCTGCACTGAAGGCTCATGTTCCACTGCCCACATGGCATCTCCAGTCCAATGTCTGGCAGATATCTTAAACTCCATATCTCCACTCAGAATCCCTTCTCTCCCAGGCCTACTTCTGCTCCCTAGACCCTTCCATCCCAGCTGATGGCAACTCCGTTCTAGTTGTTCAGTTCCAAAACCTACCCCAGTCGTCCTTAACTTCGCTGTCTCTTTGTCTCTTCCTCTCTCACATTCAATCCGAGCAAGTCCGCAGATCCCACTGGTTCTGTATTTAAGAATGTACTTAAAATCTGACCACTCACCACTATTTGCACTGCTGCCACCCCAATCAGAGCCACCATTATCTTGTCTAGAATATCAAGGTCTCCCACTAACTGGTGTCCTCGCTGCCACCTTGGTCTCCTATAGTTTGTCCCCAACACACAGCAGCCAGAATCCTTTCAAAACAGGGCAAGTCATGACTCCTGTCTCTTCAAATTCCTTTGCTCAGAACCTTAAACATTCAGATATGTGAGGACATTTATATTATGTAATATATTTTTTGTGGGTAAACTGAGTTTTGATAAACAGGTATACTATGGATGACTCCCCATTTAAAGAAATTGTGATAAATTTTTTTTAATGTTTCATTTATTTATTCATGAGAGATACAGAGAGGCAGAGACACAGGCAGAGGGAGAAGCAGAGAGCCCGATGTGGGACTCAATCCCAGGACCCCGGGATCACGCCCTGAGCCAAAGGAAGACGCTTAACCAGTGAGCCATCCAGGCGTCCCACGTGATAAATCTTTTTTAAAATAGTAATCACTTTTTCATAATACGTGAGATATGACTTATAAATTCAAGATTTCTTTTATGAAGTACAAGAACAGGGGACTTTCAGACATCCCTGGCATAGGAATCACTTTACTCCTTTTACAGAACTCTTCCAGCCCCTATGCTCCCATATGCAGTTATGTTTCAGGGACAGGATTAGTCTCTCAGAATTTCTAAATCTGTGCTCAGGAACTCAACTATCGATGATGAGTGTTTCTTTCCCTAGCACACACACAAAAATAGATGCCCTGCCTTTACTGCAGCTCACAAGGAGCAGTGTCATCCTGTGGCCTATATTGCGTGAACCATTTCAGCTTGTGCCTCTAATGGAGTGAAGTCTCTTCCAGATGCAGCCTTCACTTGTCTCTACAGCAGAGGGCAACAAAGAGCCTGTTCTGGTGCCAGGGGCTATTTTTACTAGATTGGAAATGCTTCCTGCAGTAGCCATACCCTTGGGTCACCCTGCTCCTCTCCTGTCCCCTTGACCTCCTGTGCCTTCCCCTTCTCCGTGTTTGTGAGTGTTAGGGATGCCATTTGGAGCCAGGACAGGAGGAAAGCAAGGAGGCCAATATGATCTCGTCTCCTGGACCCAGTTACTGAAGCTGAGGACCAGCTTGAGGGGTTCAGCCTGGAAACCAAACCTACAACTTACCAGGCATCCCAAGCCGCCTCACTAGGGGGCAGCAGGTGAACTGCATTGCGTCTTCTCCAGAGAACTACTAGCCCATCAGGTCCTGCATTGCAGGAGACATTTCATCTGTTTCTACCAAAGCCACATATTTAAAGCCATGGAAATGAATGAGATTATCTCTTGAGCACGTACTCAAGAGAGACGAGAGAACCCTAAGCTAAGGAGGAAATCAGGAGATTGTCCAGCCACAATAGACTCTTAAGAGAGGAGAGGATATCAAGAAGAGTTGTCCCTTCTGTCAAATGCAGCGGCCATGATGAGGCTAGAAGAGGCCCCAGGATCATGACAAATCTCACTTGTGACCTGACAAAACCCATAGCATTTGAGGATTGACGGCAGGAGCCAGATTGAAGCGGATTGAAGCATGGGTGCACTGAGGAGGGAAACAGTGTTCCTGGATAGTTCTTTCCAAAGGCTTTCCCTTGCAAGGCAGCAGAGAAATGAAGTCAAAGCTAGAGGAGGAGAGGGCACAAAGGGGCCAGTGTATGCACACACGCAAACATAGAGCTCAAACGTGTGCTTATGCTCATGGGAATCACCCAGTAAAAGAAGAGACTGCTGACAAAATGAAGAACAGACAGAGGTCTACTTCTGTATTCGAGAGTTTGCACAAGATAAAAACCCTAAAACTTAATGAATTTAGCATAGTCTTTCCACACAGCAACACGGTATTTTTCTGTACTTACTCCAATCTTATTTCCTAGTCTTAATGAAGGTTCTTTGGTTTTCCTCACCTAATCCCACATGTTCATTGGAAGGGCCACCCC